CAAGTTTTCTAAAAAGTAATGAAAAGGATTTCAAATTTTTTTTTTTCAAATTTTTTTAATTTATTACCTTTTTTTTATAAATTTTTTTTTTTTATAAATTCTTTAAAAGATAAAAAAATTTGCATAATATTCGTGTCTGTATCGGTTGCAGAAGTGAGCTGAATCGCTTAGATACCTATTTTAAAAGCAATCATTAAATGGCGCATGCGCAACATTTATGAGCATGTTTAACAACTAAATTAAAACGAAGCGATACATAGTTAGCTACTAACGCCAACAAGTATATTGAATTTTCTAGTACGTTTGCGATGAGTTGCCGCATCCGCAGAAAATCATGCGCACAATAGGTTGGCAGGTATCAATTACTCAAATCTACTTACCCGCATCATATTGACTACTAGCGGTAAAGAGTTTATATAAGATATTATATTACCGTGTTACAAACATTCGATGTGATACTTTAAAGATGTAATCGTTGCATTGTAGATATTCCAAGGACTATTATAATATATGAAAAGAAGAAGAAAACATTTATACTTCAATCTCATTTCCAACGAACGGTTTCAATTTATGACATTAGTCACCATGTTAATGACTTAATGGCTTACAACGATGAGCATTCACGATTCGTATCGATACGCATATAGATTTAAAACTGACTTTTCCTTTGTTAATCGTTTAGACTCCTAAGGCATCTACGAAGGCCGTACAAAAAATCTGCATCTTATGCATGAAGACGTATAATTTTTTGCAGTTCGTGACTCACATTCTCTTTACTTCTATGACACAAATTGCGCGAATTTCAATGAGCACTGCACTCATCATCAAAATTCATTTCAGTTTCTAAGAAAATTTATAGATATATCTATATCATCATCGAAGGATGCCGGGTATATTCATTTTGTGAAAACGTTTGCAAAACCTTGAAATAAACTTCAAAGAGCACATATATATATTCTTGTCAACTTATCAACTTGTGAATTGATTCAAGCAAGTCTGTCTGTCCATCTATATGGGTGTCCTTTTGTATAATATCTGTTGCAAACATTTTGCAACATTCACGCAAAAATAAAGCTAACGACTTATATGTTAGCAGAAACACGCAGCCTGGTATTGAAAATGGGCCGAATAGGCCGAAGGACACATCCACAGCACCATGTAAACTGAGAACACCTTTGTTTTTCAAATAAATGTACGAAAATTTGAGCGTATATTCTATGGACGATGGTGTAGTACCTTTGCAGAAATAAATCGACCACACCTACAAAATAATATAGTGTATAAAAATTTTTTTTTTTTTTTATAATACCCTTATAACAAGCAGAAAGAAGCTTCAAAAACAAAAAAATGCACTCCAACAAGTCTGTCTGTTCGTCTGTCCATCTGTGTCTGCCCAAGTGTGGAGTATTTGTGGTAAACATTCTACCGTTAGTGAAAATGCAAGCATCGCCTACAAATTTGTAAAAGAAAGTTCGAAGTGACTTAAACTTTTGTAGGGACACGACTACAACGCCTACATGCCTATGCGACAAAAAATTTTATTTTGAAAATAGAAAAAATTAACCGCGCCAACATAATAGTATAGTGTATAAAAATTTGCTTCCTTCCGAAGCGTATAAAAAATTCGGTCACGACCGAATATAATTTTTTTACGTGTTTTTTTCCAAAATATGTGTTTTTCAAGTAACCATCGTCGCACCCATTTGTTTACTAATTTTTTACCTGCCAAGCATTTAGCCCAATTAACTAATTAGACGATAGAACGCTTGCTGCTTCCAGCATTTGTATGAAATGTTAACCACATTAATTAATGTAGTAAAGAGCTTTTGTACCCTGCATCACATTTTCTGAAAAGGTAAGAAGGCGTTGAGATATTACTATACGGATCGATTCAGTACCCATTTCTGAACCATTTTCTGGACTATCAGATGCACGTCTGTCCCAATTTTTGAAATTAAAATTGGAATAAATGTATTGAATAGAGTTCGAATCGGACCACTTTTTCGACAACTTGCGATAGAAAGTCTTATTTTGAAAAGTCTTTATGCGAGCTACTGTATTAAGCGAAGCGACGTAGGGTAGAGCCGTGGCCTACTGTAATGTTCTTGCCTGTTCGTTTAACTTCTTAACGTAGCCTAATAGAGCTCAGGAGGCTACTTATGTTATAAAGTAAAAAAATTCACTCTTCATCGTTTCTTAGAAAACGACTACGATGCGTTTATATTGAGAGTTTTTATTGACTTTGCCAAATAAGTTCACTCGGAATCCCTTTCACTTACATCACATTCGAAAGTGAACTATTCCACCTGCGGATATATGATCTTTGTTTATAAAAGAACTTTATATAGATAATGATAAATGAAAAATTATGAAAAAATGAAAAGGAAAAATTTTTTTGACCACACAAGTCTGACGGCAAAAGTTTAGATAATATATTTTTGGATATCCGCCGTCTTAGTGATAAGCAAAGAAACGCGGCGGTGCATAATCGATCATTGATTTATTACAAAAGCAGAAATGTAAAAGTCCATTTTTCTGTTCTGTTATGAGCATTACAGGAATGTTACAAAATATTAAAAAAAAAAAAAAGAAAATTAGTAGAAAACACATGATGCGTTTGCACTCTGAACGTCTATTAGTTAGGATGGGAAGCAAACTTGTGCGGATGTCAATTACTTGAAGTAACACACATCGACTCTCTAAGTTAATATGAATGATGTTTTCGTCGTACTCCATATATATAATTTGCAGCAGATATGCAATTCCATACAGAGTTGAATTAATTCTATATAGAATTATCTCAATAGAAACAATTGTACATATCAGCATCAATTTTGCATAAAATTGCCTCAATTCTGTATAGCTATGTAAAGTATGCCCTTTTTTCACTTTATGGAAAAGTATACAAAAAGTAGGAGCCCGTTCATGGTTCTCGATATCCAATAAAGCCGATCGTAATTTGTATATGTTATTTCGTAGCAATTTTACGATAGAAAGGCTTTTCATTCCTTAGTAAGAAGAATGCGTGCTTTATCGGTAACTCTCAAATCCCTACCCACCACCGCAAGTTCGTAATCCCCAGCTATCGAGTTAACGAGAGAGCTACGATTTACGTAAATATAACGCAAAGAGTTTATAGTCAAAATTCATTCCAAAAATGGTGTCATGTTCTCCGGCAAGTAGAGATGGCCACGAAAGCCTTTCACGATGCAACATAGGTCTAAAGTTCGGCTTATCTACAGTAAACATGAAGGTACAGAGAGACGAAAAAGGAGAGAATAACGCGGTAATCACGCATCTTTACTAAAAGTTTGATAACGAAATTATTACACCATTTGACGTACAAAGGCATATTAAGCTTGTCCGAATGTAAGCAACACGCAAAAAAGACTTGGGGCAGACCTACCGTTTATTATGCCAGTCGATTCAAATCATTTTGTGTCTGTCCGCGTCGTGTGTGTGCGTACGTGTGTGTTTGACGGTCTATCTGTCTGTCGGTCTTGTTTTCTTGCGTTCAAGACAGAGACCGCAATTTTTGGGATATAACTTAGTACGCTATGGTAAGGATGGGACTACTTCTTCGATCGCTTCACATCTTATGTTGAAAATATAATCACTGTATAATCGTGTAGTGTTTTTACCTACTTTTTGCTACCATCGCATACCGTAAGCAAAGATTCCTTCGATCCTTCATCTAAGTGCGCGCTCACAATACCATCCGCATGTCGTCACGGGATGAACGCTATAAAAATTTTATAAACTTTCCTGTCTTTTAACTCAAGATTTGCTTCTGCAAATGTTAATAGTCAGTCAATGTTCAATAAGTATCGATGTCCGAATGCACTTGAATTTAATATTCTTGAAAGAATTCCTATCTTGAGGGAAAGAGTTACATTATAAGCTGGTATTGCTCTTTTTTATTTGCTTGAAAATTCATATGCAAACTTGAGTGCAATTAAAAGCGACTGTAAGCTATAAACTTGAATTCTCACTTAGCGCTGACGACATGCCATTAAAGAACTGCAGTCACTATTTTATTTTAATAATTGCTTTCAACCGTTAAGCATAGCCACTTATCGAACAGCTCTCGTCATTGTTTCTATCTTTGCTTTATACTGATAAACATTTACATATCGTTATATCGCTGTGTACGTGCATTAATCAGATTATTAATATGTACGATAAACTGTCAATTTTTCAAAGGAAAACATCAATTATGTAGACAGATAGTCATTCATTTCGCTCATATAGATTTTCTTTCGCCATCATGACCACTATTATCATCATTATTGTCATCATCGTCATCATCATCATCATCATCATCATCCTTGGCATATAATTGCATGGGACAGACAATTTAACTGATATGTTTAAAATTACTTGCCGGATTGGAATATTTAAAATAATTTTTCAACGCATACATATGTACATATTTTACGCTGGCTGTTGGATAAATTTATACCATAATAATGAAGCCTTTGTAAGATTTATAGTTTATTAATGCATATAAATTGTTTATTAAATATTTTAATAAATAATATTAATATACGTAAATACGTATGATTACCGGATCGATAGTTGATTTACAGCAATCGAATAACGACCGGTTTATTAACTTTAAAACTTGCCGTGTACGGGTGTATAAAGGCATAAGTAAATTATGGTGAGTTTTTTTTTTCTTCTTCTTCTTGCTTGGTTATATGAGGAAGTTTGATTATGCTGAAGAAAGTTGAAAAGATTACAATTGCGGGATTTAAAAAGTTTTTTCACGTCAATGCTTTTTTTGCATCCTTTTTTTTGGCATACCATGGCCGAGTAGTGAACTGTATGAGTTTTCCTCATTTGAAGCCCATGTGAAGATCAGTATAGTACTCTATTTGACATTAGGTACTTGCATTTATTTTGATCAGCGACATCTATTGGTGAAAGTGATAAAGTAATGCAAAGTATCAACGCACATATCGGTCAAATTCGATCATTTTTACCTTTCTCTACATAGAATGACAGTTTCCGGTTTAGTATTATTGTATTACTCACTGTGCACCCATCAAACGCTTTTACAAGTTTGTGGTTATGGCACCTCATCACGTCCCAATGGCCGCTTTTGGTTTCAATGTTTTAAAAGTGGCAATGATATGGAACGGCCTGGAGGACCAAGCAGGTACGAAGACAATAAATGGCGAAACTTGATAGGCGAAAGAGCAGCTCGAACTCTCAAGAAACTTTCGAACAACTCAGCAGTCGAAGAAACGCCTGTTTCTAGACGTTTAAATGCGATGGGAATTATCCAAAAAGGAGGGAAAATGGCTACCGTACGAGTTGACGAAGTGAATGTCATTTCGAACCGGGTCAGCATCGCGGCGATCCACATCGATACCGAAGAGAAGTATTCTTGGCCATAAAGTTTTACTAAGCATATGGTGGAATCACCATTGTGCACGGTGTGTCATGAGCAGCTAAAACCGCGCGAAACTTTTACTGCAGATGTCTTCCGACATCAACTGAACAAACTGAACGATGTCTTGTTGCAAAGAAGACCAGCATGAGTGGTTAACACCCGCAAAGTCATCCTCTTGCACGCGCGCCCGGCTTGTAAGAATTTGTCAGGGATACACTGTTGCAGCTCGAATGCGACGTGTTATTGCGCCAAGCGCGTTCACCAGACATAGCGACTTCTTATTACTACTTGTTTACATTGATGCATCGATGTACCATAGTTTGGTTGGCGCGCGGTCTCGAAATGCTGAAGAATTGGAAAAATGGGTCGATGATTGGATTGCTCTCAACACAATATCTTCCTTTCGACACGGTTGTGGCCTCTGAAAGTCTTGTGTGAAATGATTACAACTAAACTAAACGACGATCAAGGAGCGGGACGCTTGCTTCTGTTTGTAAAATATTTCTCTTATTAGTGTGCGGTCTTGACGCTTACCTTCACTTATGTTACATTTTTTTTTTTTATTGAATTTCTTGCCTTAGATTTCATTTTTATCCTTTTTATAAGCGCTTCACTAGTGGTTGAGGGAGCATAAGAAAATTATCATTAGTGCCAATAATTTACGATAATTATCCCCATTCAAGGAATTCCTAAATGTAGAAGGAAAACAAAGGTTACCTTACATGCCATACTTAGCTGAGATCATCGCGTAAATTAACGAAGAAATTCTTTGTAAATGTGTCGCTTGAACGGCGAGTTAATCCCCTTTACTTTGCAATGCCGCTTTTTCGTGTAAGGCAGGGTTGATTACAAGCGGCTGGTCGCATTGTTATTAATTATTTCCTTCCATAAAACTTTTAATGCTAGAGAGTGGTTGATACGGGTCGCAGAGGCGGGTTTGTGTTAAGGTGATTTATCGACTATGCGTCCATATTGTACGGTACACATCAGTATCTCCATCCTCAAAGAATTTGGCAGAGAGACACGTATTCGCTATGGAGAATTTATTTAAACATCAAGCGTGAAATCGCGCTACACTGTTGCTCAACCGCACGTCCAAATTAAATGTTGCTTTCGTTCTTTATCTTTAGATGCAAAATACACTTTAAATAAGTTTACGTTTATGCCGGCATTCTTTCGTCTTCCGATTTTTAAACGTAAGAATTGCGAACGTTATAGCAACTGTCAGCCGTAAAAGCTAAAATAGATGGGAATCATATAAATGATTTGGGTCGATATGTAAATGGGATAATAAGAAAAAATGTAATTTTCATATATATATATATATGTATATATATATCCCCTTGAAGCGAAGCATATCTAAATTGTTATACCCACCACCAAAAGATGATAATATCCTTTACTATGTTTCCTTAATTTTTTTTGATACCAAGACCACACGTTCCCCACCGTCTCGCTCAAGGCATCTCTGCTTAAGGTGCACAGCGCAAGCCGAAACGATCGTGTAACTATCAGTTACAGCATCGGTTATTTGATCAACAGCCAGGAGAAAGCTTCACCGGCCCTCTAAAGTATATATACATCAGTGTCAAATTCTGAATCAATTTAAGCATGTCCGTCCGCCCGACTATTCATCTCGGTAATGTTAAACACTCTCCTGGTGGCAAAAGAAAAGCTACCGACTTCTAATTTGGTAGACATCTTCTAAGTTCTTGCATAAACGTGAGAGCTGAAAATGGATTTTCTCGTTTGAAGGAACCTTCAGAGTATAGCGTCTATTTTCAAAAGCAAAAAAAAAACTGGAATTTTTGCTCGTTACTTACAAGCTACAACAAGACAATGACAAAAGATTGCACAAGTAATCCTCCAGCATTTGCTCAAGATTAAAAAGAATCGATCTCGCTCTCTCAAAATTATAGAGTGTCAAATTTTCATTCTCAGCGCTGTTGAGAGAAACCTTAGACCACCTATAAAGTATATATGTTAATGATCAGTGTCAAATTGTGTATCGATCTACGCATGCCCGGCTGTCTGTCCATCCGTTTTTGCGTCTATAAATCTTGCCTGTCCGTCCGTCCGTCTGCCTGCAGGTCTGCCCGTAGGTCTGTTTGGCGAAAATTAGGACATCGGTATCGAATTCGATAAAAAAATTGCAAATTGTTGTACGCAGGTGGCTACTGAAAATGAACGAATTTGACCGAAGGACAAGCCCGCAGAAGAATATGAACATGGACAACAAAGATTTGCTTATTCTATTTTAAAATAAAGTTAATATCGGCCAGAACCGAATAAAATTTACTTACTTGTTTTTTTTTTGTTTTTTTTTTTGTTTTTTTTTTGTTTTTTTTCATTCTTTATACATTTATAATTAATGAATAAATAAATACACTGTCCTGTCTCTATGGCTACAAGCTATAAAATTCTGTGTACAAATCTATTCAATAGTTTGCAGATTTTTGCTTCGAATAATTTGAGTTAAATTTTACAGAGACATGGTTAGCAAAATAAAGTGAGTTAATCTCTCAACAATATTGTGCAAATGATTAATTATGTAATGCTTCTCGCAACAATGCATTGTGAACAGTTATCATAAATTTAAACAACATAATTATAACCACAAAAGAGACAGAGAACACAAATAACAATCGTTACTGACACCTGTGTCGACAAAAATGCATAATAGATGACGAGCAATGAGAAGAGAAGAGAAGAGAAGTAGATTTGTTGTAGTTAATGGTATGTGAAGGACAATCCACTTTTGGTTTGGTTAAATGTTCGAATGCAATCCTTTTGTATCGTATCTAGAACAAGTAAAGGCGTTTACGGGATAATTGCCGGAAGATTGTTTGTAGTCACAGACAAAAAAAAAAAAAAAAAAGAAAAAAAATGCGAGGAAAAGCAACAACATAATGAATTAAGTGTCGGACCATCAGAGGCAACATAACCATAACAGCTGTCAACATTGGTACGAAGACCGTATCCAACCCTACTGCGCTTTACCTTGTATACTTATGAATAATACGATTTGTTTTTAACAGGCAAGCGATTGGGTGGTAATGGAATGGCGTAAAGTAAAAAAGTTCACTTTCCTTGTAGTAGTACGAGTAATTAACTTTAAACAAAAGCCAAAAACTTTGTAGAGCAAAGTTTGCGGCAATCAACCACATATTCATATATATATATATATGTGTATATACACACGTTCAGAAGTAAATCGTTGCCTACGGAAGGTCAACCTTTATAAACCAAAAAAAAAAAAGTGAAAAAAAAGGAAAATAAAAATAAAAGCAAAAGCGTCTATTGAAAATATCTTGTTCTTCTTTTCATATGCATTGGTACATGTACAAATAAACTCAATGCAATTTATAAATGAATGAATTTCACAAGAAGCTTTAAATGCTTTATAAATATTCTTAGAGCCATAACGTTATTCAGTGAAAGGATATTTTCTCACTCAGTAAAAGAATTTCGTTTTCAGTTGAAGCTTTTTTTCTGCTGTATACTTAAAATTTTTTATAGATCGTCCTTATGGTAAACTATCCTGTGCGAGTATAGATAGCTTGTACATTTTCGTCATATAAGAAGCTTCTCGTTTGTATTCCGAAGAAAGAGTTTTCATTCTACATTAGGCTTGTGACCTACAGTCTATAAACGAAAACAATATCCGGAACGACTTACAAGGCCATCTTTTATTACATCAATCAATTGACATTCAGTTTCTGAAAGGTCTATGCATCCGTCTTCGTCCATGTATCTGTCCACGTACTTTTGTGCCTAGGGTTTGCAGAGGGAAAACTTTTTAGAAAAATTTGTGCCGGACTAAAACGTTTTAACTTGTTCTCATAGAAAAGTCGTAACTTTTGTCGCAGCTTAGTCGCGATACTCCTTACATTGAGTAGCGCAATCTCATAGTATTATTTGAAAATGTCTTAGGTGCTAGTCGTCAAAAACTATTTCCACATTAATATTAGGCTAGTATATGTAGATCGCCCGCATAACCAAGTAATTTAAGGAGCGCGACCATCAAGTCGACCTATCTAGGTTCACTTTTCAGTGCAGCACACCACTTTAATTGCGATCGATGTGCAATCGTAGCTATAAGGAGCGCTACACTTAGTGATCGATCGCACGTCGGCCAATCCCTACTTCTCTCCCTACTTCTTTAAGACAATCATGGTGTTATGCGTATAATGGAATTCTCTGAGTGATATACATATACATTTATATATATATATATATATATATATATATATATATACAATATCTTACGGTTACTTATTACGATGGTGACGACACCAGGGATACAGCTATCTTTGTTAGTCAAGATCCGAAGAGAGTTTATTGCTTTGGATTACTACAACAATAACTTTCAAAAATGTCGTTTCCACTAGCTCAGACACAAACCAAAAAAACAAGAGTTTGATAATTAAGCAAGTTTCGACCGTGACGATCTCAACTGTAATTTTGTTCTGAAAAGAATATCATGCCATCTGACACAATCGTCCTGTAAATAGTGCACTTTGGATACTCAATGTAAATGTTGTAGGAATTCGCAAGTTGTGCTATAAATACGATAAATTCAACGCAGCGTCAAACTCTCGTTTAAAGCGTAAAAGCAAAAAAAAAAAAATAAATAAAGTCCGATCGCATCTACATACAGTCCCTTCCGTTTTGCGGCTGACTGTACTGGCTGGTCCCAGAGAATCGTAAAAAGTCTAGTTTAGATAGTTGGGCAACCATTCGTTTGCGGGAAATCTTTAAAGGAATAAGAAGCAGAATTCAAGCCAGCGTGCCATATACACCCCCACGTGTATTTAGCTTTTATTACATTCGAAACTTTACATTGATGCGGCATCTAGCATATGATTTCGATGTTGATATCTTTTATTATCGCTTGGGAGAAGGGAGAAGTGTTCAATGTCCACAAACCCGCAAGAGAAGCCTATTGCATTTAAAGTCTGCACGTTCATGTCATCTAACAAAAATGTTTTCGATAATAGTCTC